GGAGGGTCTAGGCCCGAAACGTCAGCCTTCCTGCTCCTCTGATGCTGCTTGGCCTGCTGTGTTCATCCAGCTCTACACCTTGTTATCTCAGATTCTCCAGCATCTGCAGTTCCTACTATCTCTGTAAAAGTTATAGCTTGATTTTACGTGCTCAGACCAATCTAATCATGTGTTTCAGGGTTGAACAAATGTATCAGAATGTTATGGCTTTGTGGCACCAGCTGCATATTAATATGAAAAGTGTTGTGTCCTGGAATTACCTAGTGAAAGACATTGAAACCATTCACTCCTGGAACAGAGAAACGGTATGTATCCATTAGTTTGCTGAAATGTTGCTCCAAGTCTATTGAAATAGGACAAACCTATAATGCTTTGTAATTAATGGCAGAATAACAGAATTTTGAAGTTTGAATTCAGATGTCTAGCCTAAGTTATTTTAGTCCATTCTGCCCATTTGTGATACAACCCTGATAGAAGTTCCAAAATGCTGACAAACCCCATCCGTAAATGCAATTCATTCTTGACTTTTTAAAATAGTGTCCTTTTTACTTTGCAAAGTATCTTTCATAACATCAATCGTATAAAGGTTGTGTATATATTAGTTTCATTTATGCAATGTTCTGAGTAATTCTGTGACCCAAATTTTGCAACTTGAGTGATGGTAAAACTGTCAGCATTTGTAATCATTACTATGTGAAACTGTAAGCAGCCTCTGGCATTCACAACACTCTGTTAAATGCTGAAATGCAGATAGAGATTTCCTGCTGGTCTGCGTTATCCACTTCTGAAGTCCTGACGCACAAGTGATTCAGATCACTGTATTAATAGGGTCTTCTACTTTTATGGTAGTATTGTTTGTTTGTAACTAGGGTTTTAATAGCATGCTGAATTGTAAATGCTTTAAACAAGAAACCAGGCCCTGAAACATCTGTTATATTTTGACATTAAATTTTGCCATTCCTTTTTTGTAGCTTATGGTTTTTCAACTTCTATCTTAATACATGTGTGTGTCCTGGTCTTCATTTTGCTATCTGTAAAATTATGTTAAAAAAGTGAATTGGGAAAACGTGCTTGTTACTTTACTGTTTGCTGTCTCCCTAAAAATTCTTCAATGTGATGGGCTGCTTAGCCTACTTAGTGACATCACTGATACTAGACACAGGAATTTCCTGTAACTTCATTCTGATGCAGCTAACATTAGGAGAAAGATAAAAACCACATTGCTAGCTTGCTAGGTCAGTTGAGGGTGCTGTCACCTTGCCAGTGACTGTATGACCCTGATCTTCATTTGGTTAAGAGATTTTTTTTTAAAAATGTAATCTATATCTTGCATCGGTTTACGGCACAATAACTTGAATGATTTGTATTTTACATTGGCTCCAAATATTCCTTTGGAATTTTGATTTTGTTCACAACAATCATATTTGAATAGTACTGTTACCACAAAACTAACTTATGTACTGTGTGACCTAAAAGCTTATAAAGCAAAACCAGCCAAGGGAGGTAATAACATACAGATCTGCTGACAACCTAAGCATTAAAATTATTTTTGATAAATTCATACCTGACTTAGAAACCTCCACTACTTTCATTACAGTTTAAAACTCTGAAAGCAAGTGAGCAAACACATGCATTGAAAAATCTCCAGATGCATTTTGAGGATTTTCTTGAGGACAGCCAGGAGTCTCAGGTCTTCTCCATTGCAGACAGATTACGGTTAGAGGAAGATGTTGATAACTGTAAGGAACAATGTGAGAAGCTACTAGTATCCATGGAAACAGGTCAGTGAAAATAACACAAAATAATTAATATGGATTTTTGCCAGGCCTTCAGTGTAATTATTTTATAAAAACGAAATGTAACAGTTGCTTCCTAGAAGTAACATAACAAATATCTTTGAAATATGTACTAGAGGCAACACAACGTTAAATTTTATGAATTGGATTTTCAGTAACATTGCTCAAATTCCCAATAGCAATACTGATCTCCTGTGGAGAGCAAGATTGTGACCGTTTGATCTTTAAATGTTTACTTAGTGCAACATCAATCACAGTAGTGATTTTGTACAAAATGAAATAGTGCTGTTACAGGTGGCAAAACATCCCTTGCCAAGGATAGGGGTTCTGTTGAGATGGTGAGGTGCCACTGGAAGTAAATACAAGTAACATCATTATTAGAACCATTCTTAGTGTGATATTTGAGACCTTGACCTATCCTCTCATTTTGCTGACCAAGTAACAATCTTCAAAGTACACAGTGACCCTTATTCCCTGTATTCATTGCCATGTATAGGATAGCATGTTCACATTCAATAATTAATGTTTTCTTTCGTTCATGGGTTTTGAGTGTTGCTAATAAGATCATAACGTATTGCCCAGACCTAATTCTTCTTGAGAAGATATTTGTAAGCTACTGGAATCCATATCTTGTGGGTTAACCCACATTGCCAAACTAAGGAACCCATTAATAGGACAACTATCTCCACAAGGTACATTTGTTGAAATCCCCTGCAGACAACAATAAAATACAATCTTGGAACTGACTAAACTTCTGTTCGCACTTATGGTCTTGCCGCAATAGCCTGGTCGAAAGTTGTACTTTATTGAATGTGGTGTAATTTGGTTTTCGTGGTGTACTAACCACTTCATGACCTTCCTGTCCATGAAAAGCTAATGCTATATTTGTGAAATGTCAAATTTCTTGGCAAAATTCACATCAATTCATTTGATATTTCAACTTCCACAGTGATCAGATGAGCCAGTTGGCCGAGGAATGGCAAATGGAGTTTAATTTAGATAAATGAGGTGCTATATTTTGGAAAGGCAAATCAGGGCAGGACTTCTACACTTAATGATAAGGTCCTGGGAAGTGTTGCTGAACAAAGAGACCTTGGAGTGCAGGTCATAGTTCCTTGAAAGTGGAGTTGCAGGCAGATAGGATAGTGAAGAAGGCATTTGGTATGCTTGCGTTTATTGGTCAGTGCATTGAGTATAGGAGTTGGGAGGTGATGTTGTGAATGTGCAGGACATTGGTTAGGCCAATTTTGGAATGTTGTGTGCGGTTCTGGTCACCCTGCTGTAGGAAGGATGTTGTGAAACTTGAAAGGGTTCAGAAAAGATTTAGAAGGATGTTGCCAGGGTTGGAAGGTTTGAGCTATGGGGAGAGACTGAATAGGCTGGGGCCATTTTCCCCGGAGCGTCAGAGGCTGAGGGGTGACCTTTATAGAGGTTTATGAAATCATGAAGGGCATGGATAGGGTAAATAGGCATGGTCTTTTCCCTGGGGTGCGAGAGTCCAAAACTAGAGGGGAAAGATTTAAAAGTGACCAAGGGGGCAACTTTTCATGCAGAGGGTGGTGCATGGATGGCATGATCTGTCAGTGGATGTGGTGGAGGCTGGTTTAATTACAGCATATAAAAAGCATCTGGATGCTTTCTGAATAGGAACGTTGAGGGGGGTATGGGCCAAATGCTGGCAAATAGGACTAGATTAATTTAGGATATCTGTTTGGCATGGACAAGTTGGAGCAAAGGGTCTGTTTCTGTGCTGTATATCTCTGACTCTGTAATCCCATCTGTATGTAATGTAATCATTTATTTCACTCTATATAAAAAAAAAAGTTTGCATTTTACTTGCTGGCTAAGAGAATGCACCATCTGTGTCTGACTACTTTACCCCACTGATGATACCCCTGTTGGCTGCCTGTAATCCCACTTAACTGGCATTAGATTTGAATTGTTATCAAGAGAGGAGATGTCCATGCCACAGTGTTGGACAGTTTTCTCTGAATTCAGTGGTGAGTGGTGTGAAATCCTAGTCTAGTTTGTTACATTAGTGCCTTCATCTGAATATTCTTCAATTTTTAACTGGTTGTGCCCATTTTAAAGACATAAAATTTTTCGTTTGCACCATTGATCGGAGATCACAAACGATTAAAGGAGAACAAAGTAAAGAGAAGATCCATCGTTTGTGAGTCTGAGAAATTCTTCAACTTAAATGATTTTCCCATTTCAGATTCTAAAGTTGTATTATTATTACATTAATGACTGAGTGAGATCTTAATAAGAATATGTTGTGTCAGTGCAGAAATTGGTGGCATGCACTATAATTTTATTTTGAAAGGTAGGGTATATCGTACTTCCGCCTAGTTAGCTAAGCTTACGTTGCTTGAAGTTCTAACTATATTTAGTCTTAAGTTTAAGGAAGCAAATTTGATTAGTGCAATCTTGGATCCTATAAGGAAATGGCTTCCAACAAGTGTTTAAAAAAACCTGAAAAATAAATGTCATGACTTTTATTTTGAATTTAGTTAACTCCCTGGTTATCTCCATAATCATTGTGACTCGGGGAAAATAACAAGAGTTTGAATTCCTTTCAAGTTTTGTATCTAATTATTATGTGCTTATTAACTAGAAGAGAAGGATGAAACGTTGAGTAAAACATACATCTCTGAGCTTCAAAACATCTGTCTGCGACTAGAGAAGTATCAAGACCAATTAATACGGAGGATTCAGGCCTCTGTTGAAGGCAATGCCGTTCAAGATAGTGCCTTCAGAATCGTTGAGCAAGAGGTTTGTCTGTTACAATATCTATCCATAACATACTAGAGTAAAATTGATTACTTGTCACAGCAATCTCCGCATTGTTCTTGAGGGTCATACTAAGTTGCTCCAACTAAAGCTGGCATATACTTATCCCATGGGAAATGCTCTCACGTAATACTTTTAGGTGAAAATCATAAAACCTCTTGCTATCTGAACTTCAATTTACCCTTGTACTCCTAAGTAAACTTTCCATAGATCTACTTATTGATTCATTATTTACTGTTTTTGCAGAACATGCAGCAGGAACTAGATGGATTGAAATCTCAATTAAATCAACTGACAAAAAAATGTGAGAGTTTTTTCCACCAGTCTCCCTCTGCAGCAAGTATTCCGGCTTTGCATTCTGAGATGGACTTGGTAATACAGAAGATGAATCAAGTGCATTCATTGTCCTCCACTTACATGGACAAGTGAGTCTGAAATTACAGAAAATTGATTAAGTTAGAACAAAACTGCAAAGTGTTAAATATATGAAGAGTGATTAAATAAGTATGTATTTGAAATAGTGAGATCATTTTTTTGATAGGCTGACCGGAGAAGCATCTATGACCAGTTCATTTATGTTCCCACTCCTATATTAGAGTTGATCTTTCTTTGCACCTTCTCTGTATCTGTAATGCTATATTCTGCATTCTGTTCTATTACACTGATATGTTTAACTGAGGTATGATTTGTCTGGTTAACACAAAACAATACTTTTCATTGTAACTTGGTACATGTGGCAGTAATGCTTCAAATCAAAGATGAACTGAGAACAATGATCAATTTGTTATTAAAACATTAATTGCTGCCACGTTGATTGAAATTAGTTCCATTGACAAGTAGACCATGTAAGCAGATCCATCCCACAGAGGTTCAAGAGAATGATATTGATTTACACAGTTACCAGATCATACGTGGCATGTTGTATTCAAATATGGTCCTTTAAATTGTTTTTAAAAACCACAAGTAGAAAGTTTTCAAAAAAAACAGCAAAAGTAATTCCAGCTGTATACCATTGGGCTGTAGATAAAATCCGTACAGGCTAAGTCCTTTTGCACAATCAGTCCTTTTCCAAATGTTGTTTTTTTTTAATATTTTAAGGTATTATTGTTAAAGGAGTGGAAATGTACTGCCTTCAAAATATGACAAAATTGACTTCAAGTTATCTTTAATTTAGGGAATGCTGTCATCATATTTGTTAATGATGCTGTCGCTAAGTTTTCTTCAGGAAATACTCCACTGTGGTGTCCAAGGGAAAGTTGGATGAATATCTAATTAGTAGATGTAAAGTTTTCCACAAGAAAAGATTGTAAAATAACCTAAAACTGGAAAGTGATTTTTCCAAAACCATTGCTGTTTTATTTTCAGCAAATAACTTTTTTTTTTCCTATTTCTTTTAGGCTGAAAACAGTGGATGTTATGTTGAAAAGCAGTCAAGGAGCTGAGATGCTTGTAAAAATGTATGAAATGAAGCTGAGTGAGGAAGATGCAGTACCAGTAGACCAGGAGGCTATTGAAAGACACAGAACCTTACTACAGGTCAGATAGTTCTCAGTAATCAGCACAGCTAATTGATGAACAAGTGTGTTGAAGTCTTGGTACTTAACAAGTAATGGGTAACAACAGCAACAACTTAAATTTAAATAACATCTTTAACATAGGAAAACATCCCAGTGCACTTCAGAGAAGTTAATCGGACAAAATTTGACCCTGAGGGAAATAGGTATAGAAGGGCAGAAGTAAAAGTTGGTCAATGAGACAGGTTTTCAGAAGAATCTTAGAGGAAGAAAGAGATGGCGTTGAATGAGGGATTTCCAGAGATAGGGACAAGGACAGCTGAAGGATCGACAGCTAGTGGTGGATAAAAGAAGGGGATTGAGTTAGATATCAAAGTTGGTGGAATGTAGATGTCTTTGAAGTGTTTTTAGGCTGGAAGAGGTTGCATAAATACAGAGGGACAAAAGTACGGCAGAATCTTACCAGAGATTTTTGAAACTGGTGGGGACTAGGAGTCTTGTGGGCCTACAATGCACTGTCTGGAAGTGTGGTTGAGGTAGGTTGAATTCGTACATTGAAGAGGATGTTAGGTGATTATTTAAAGAACAGGATTATTGGGGGGAAAGGGTCAGGAGAATGAAATGAGCATGATGACTCGCCAGAGATCTAGTTCAGATGTGATGGGCTGAATGTTCTCATGTCACAACCGTCCTGTGATTTTTGAATAAACAATCGTTGTGATGAGTCTAGAAGACTTGATGGTGTTAAGGACACATGCAATAATATTTTGGTTGAGCTGAAGTTTTAAAGATGGACAATGTAGGAAGTTATTCGGGTAAGTATTGAGTTAGTTGGTTAACGCAAGCATGGTTGAATGTGTCAGAATCCGATGTATTGTGACAGGATCATAAACTGGCCCTGTTACAAAATAGACATTCTTTTGTGATGTCAATTCAGAAACTTGCCTTCGGGTTCCAAATAAAATGTGGCTTTAGTGGGTTGACAGTGATTGTCCACAGTGACTTGGAAAAAGTTTATAACCTGTATAGCAATAGACATGTAGGAAGAGTTTAAAAGAATTCACCATGATACAGAATTAGTTTATACCTCTAACGGCAAAAGCTCTGCTAGCAAAAATATGTGGTCCGTAGTCAACTCGAGAGATGAGGACAACATGAACTAAAAGAAAAGTAATACAAGAATGCAAACAAAACAGGACACATCCTAGTGACTGGAAGAGGAACAGACAAGGATGACAAACAAGCTAAGAATAAGGTGCAAAAGGAATGTCAAAGGAAATCTACAAGGGACGTCAGCGCCATCTCAAAAAAGTCTTTATTATTACATCCAAAAAGCATGAATGATTAAGAACAACTTAGAAAAATAAAGTTGGTTGTATATCTGAAAATGTGGAACTTGTTCTAATGCATCATTATTTACAACACAGGAATAGTGTCTTCTGTCCCTTGGAGCCAGCTGCACCATTCAATATGATGATCATTCAACTTGGTACCCTGCTTCTGCTTTATCCCAATCCCTTTGATCTCATTAGCCCTAAGGACTATATTTAACTCCTCCTTGAAAATATTCAATGTTTTGGCCGCAACTGCTACGCTGCTACATCAAAAATCTCCTGGAATCTGTAATTGGATGCAGGTGCATCACTGTTCTCATACTGGCTGAGGTTGCTATGAAGGGCCCCCCTTCTCAACCTCTTTCCTCACCTGAAGTGTGCTGACCCTCGGGTTTAGCACCACCAATCATCCCCCACTAATAAGAGCAGAGCCCAAAGGTCTAATAGGGGCATAGCGATGTTTACCTTTTACCTGCATCACTTTTGAGTAGAGACTATCTTCCTCAAGAACCTGGCTGTGTTGGTTTGTAGAATCGAACAGCCTCTTTTGTTTGCTCATTACACAAAAACTGCAATGTGCTATTCGTTTATTAGTAGGAAAGCTTATAACCTCATCTTGGAATTGGCCTCTCCTGTATCCTTGTCCGTGACATTGTAAGTCAACATTAACCCTGTATCCAGTTAGAGATGCTAATTGGCTAGCCTCAAGACCCCAGTCTTTTTGTCCCCCCATCTTGAAAGTAAATGCATGATTGAAAGCTGAACTGTTTATTTCCTGATACTCTGAATCCTTCTGGGACCCTTGGAGATTCCGAGTCTCCACTGTTAATGCAGAAGCATTGTTGCCAATGTAAATGCTTTGCCGTTCCCAGTAAAACATTCTAATACTCGCCATCAGACTGAGAGTATTAGAATGGATGTCAAACTTCAGAACAGGTCACTTGACCCCTTCCTTGAATATAACAGTCTCATAAACCTCGTAGTTATAATGGGCTGAGCAATGGAGAAGAGGCATTGAAGGAGCATAGTATAGTGCCACCATGTCAAGGCCTGCAAGTAAGTTCAGAAGGATGCAAAGGAATAGTTCATTACTGTCATGGAGAATGTTATGGATTATTTTAAAAAGGAGAATTTTAATGCTGTGATGGGGATAAACCTAACTGGAGGCTATCAAGCATTGAAGTTGCAGGAAATGGAGGCACTAGAGGAAATGGACGTAATGGCACTGGACTAAAATCTAGAGATCCAGGCTAATGTTCTGAGGCCAGGATCAAAATTCCACCATGACAGTTTGGTAGAGCTTAAATTCCATGAATAAATCTGAAATCTAAAGCTAGATTCAATAATTCCTACCACAAAACTATCATTGTAATGAAAAAAAGAAACCATTTTATTCAGTGATGTTTTTCAGGGATGGAAAAATGGCACCATTACTTGATCTGATGTACATGTAACTTCAATCCCATAACAATTTGGTTGAATCTTAACTGGCCTCCAAAATGGCCCCTCAAGCCACACAATTCAAGAGCAATTAGAAAGCGGCAATAAATGCCCACCTTGCCAGTGGAGGACACTTCCCGTGCAATGAAGTATAAAAAAGAATTGGGAAGTGACGTTATGTCCACTGAATTTGGATAGTGAAGGCAAGTTTCAAATAGGCCAATAGTTGGGGAGAGCAGAGGAACCAAGTGTTGGTTTCATGGAGTAGGAGAGTGATGATATTAAATCAGATTTGAGGGAGATGAACCATTTACTGTATGTTCTTGCATGTGGACCTGAAAGGTAAATTTGAATGGTCAGCAGTTCGGTGGGTATGCTTCAGGAGCTTGAGATATGGTCTCAAGGACAAGAATAAAAACATGCTAATAGTCAGGGATCCCTTTTGATTCTGGTGTCAGTTTGAGGATTTTCGGTATCAACATACTTGTCCAAGTGTTTTAGCACAATATGTCACTTTTATATCAGACTATCTCTTTATTTCAAAATATTAGGCCTAATATCAGTTAATGGTTGCTGAGTACAAACATTACACCTATACTGGTAAACAAAGCTGAAAATAACTTATTTTGAACTTTTACCGAACTTGAATTTTGTCGTGGAAGTAAGTAATGTAAACTTTGTTACTTGCAGCAATGGCTTCATGATGTGAATGATAAACAAGACGTGTTTTCCTCTTTGGATGAGGAAATGCAGCAAGCAAATGCTGTTGGTGAACATCTCTTCCAGCTACACAATGAACGCAACTTGGATTTGGAACGATATCAAGAAAAGGCAGTGCAGCTGAAGGATCGGTGGCGAAATATCTGTTCACAGATTGAAACCAGGTTAGCTGTCCTTTAGTATCTGCAAGAACTGCAGATACTGGAGTCAGATAACAGTATGGAGCTAGAGGAATACAGCAGGCCAGGCAGCATCAGAGGAACAGGAAAGTTGCCATTTCGGGTCGGGACCCATCTTCAGAAAATCTTCCACAAATCCATTAGCCTAGTCTTCTCTGCAGACTTTTTATTGCTGCTTTTCTACTCTTGCACTGAGACCGACTTCAAGCATACATGTTCATTTAATCCCATCTTTGACATCATCTACATTAAAATTTAGTTTTTTTTTTGAATGAGGTCCACATTGAAACAGTAAGTTATTTTTTGCAACTCATATTTTGCTTGCCGTTGATGAATGTCGATATTACATTAGAAGTTTTGGTCTTTCACATCAATTTCTCAAATTTAAACAAAGCATGCAAAAAAAGTGAAGAATAACTCATTGTATTTGTCATTGTAGTTTAATGATCAAACAGGAAAGGAGGTTTCTCTCATAACATTTAATCTGACAGCTAATTGGTGGTACCATGTTCTTAGCCAACCTGAATTTACACTACTTCACAACCCAACACCAATGTCTGAACTACCTTCTGTAATCCTAATAATACATGATAGTGACATGTAAAATATCTCTCCATTTTATTCTTTTGGTTTCTTGTTCACCTAATGCTAATTTGAAGCTATTAAGCTAAAGTTCTGAATGTTACATTAGTTGTTCACTCAACTTTTGGATACTGCCTGTGGACAAAAATTAGTTGTGGTCTAGAATGAAACTTTACTTAGAGGAGTTGACCATAACTTTATGTTCCACTACTTCATTTTACCCTTTCCCTGCATTATACAGAGAATCTGAATTGGAAAGCATTGAAGGGTTATTAGAGAATTACAGAGGCTGCCATCAGTCACTGATAGATTGGATCGAAGAAACAACTGCACAGCAAGAGAAAATGGAACCAGGCAAGGCTGAAGATACCAAGATCCTGTCACAGCAACTTAGTCAACAAATGGTAAGAAAAGCCATATCCACTATAATGCACCATTCTTCATCAAGAATACAACTCTGTTGCCTTGAATAGTTTATTCTTCCTTAAACTAGAAAGATCCAGGTATTCTATTCAATTCAATGGGAGAACCATTGAACAAAAGTTATTCTCCTTGAAGCTAGCTCCACAAAACCTTCAAACAAAACTTCTGCAAAATCAATTAGAATTGACTGGAGGCTGTGCCCTGATATCCTAATAGCATTTCCCCATCCAGGTTCTGCTTTCTCAAGTCTCAAAAGACAGTTCCAAACAAGTACATTTCAAGGGCATTCTGAAGCTTTCTGTGAAGCAATGATATTGATGCTTGGGTGGAGCTTGCTACTGATTGTTCAAAATTATGAAACCTGTCCATCAAACCACATTATGCTTTGAGTTCAGATGCTTTAATTCACATGTTACTGACTAGGCCAACATTTATTTCACATCCATGATTGCCTTCGAGAAGGTGGTAGTCAGCTGCCTTCTCGCACCGCTGTAGGTGACAGTGCAGGATTGGCAATATTAGTTCCCAGTCAGCATGATTTGTGGTTTATACGGGCACTTGCAAGTGGTGATGTCTCCAGGCACATTAACTGATGAAGTAGAGAAGAAAATCAACAGAAATAATGCTGCCTTCCATATCCCACTACCTCATGGAACCCTCTGCCCTATATGCCCAAAAGTCTACAGGTTAAGAATCAGTTTGTTCAGTCATATGAAGCCTATGGCAGAAATTTGTGACTGAGTAGATACGATCTTTAGGTGGAGGGACAGCTGTAACCAAGGACATCTTTTTATTTAAAAAAAAAAAGTCCACTTCAAAAAATGTGCCATTTCTATGAGTAAAAACATCATCCAAATGTCTGGTCTCCTCTCCTGCGTCTTGCTCCTATGTTGATCTAACATCTGTTTTTTATTGTCTGTTTTGCTTTCATTCATATCTTGATGGTCCATAAGTTTGAACTACAATTATGCAACATATTCCTAAAAATGAAGAATGGTACACAAATTTATGGAAAAAGTTACATACAACTCTGAAAACTTGCTCTTAATCTCACTATATTTCATACCATGAAATATGCAGACTCAAATTATTTATTTTCATTCAGGCATTGGTTGCTGAGATTGAAAAGAATCAAACTAAATTAGATGAATGCCAAAATCTGTCTAAACAGTACTCTGTTTCTGTAAAGGTAAGTTTATAATGCCATTGGAGTTAAATTCATTAATGAGATTCCTTTGTTTTTGGTGAATTCAGTGAAACAGAATTTCAAAAACACTCTCCCTTTATCTCTAGGATTATGAATTGCAGCTGATGACTTATAGAGCATTTGTTGAATCCCATCAAAAACCAACTGCAAAACGCCGGAGAATGCACTCCTCATCAGATGTCATAACCCAAGAGGTGGGAAAGCATGGCTAAATTAGAATAATTCTTAATGTCAATTTTTGTTGTAAATAAAATAGCAATGCAGTTTTTTTGATATCCTGTTTACCTTTCTGCAGTTCATGGACCTTCGAACCCAGTACACAGCATTGGTGACACTTACAACCCAACATGTTAAGTACATCAGTGATTCTTTAAGGCGACTGGAGGAAGAGGAAGTAAGTGGACAAAAAAAATAGGGACAATGTTACAGGCTTTATATATGAGCCTATGAATTAAGATCTGGAATGAGCCATTTGGCACTTTGGGCCAATACCCCATTTTGATTGTGGTTGATTTGTTTATGACCTCAAGCCTACTTTGCTGTATGTACCCTGTAGCTTCTAACTTCTAATGTGACTAATTTACAATCACTTCTCATTTTCAATAAATGTTGGCCTTGCCAGTGCTGCCCACATCCTATGAAAAAATTATTTAAGAACCTGAGAGGAGTTAGCAGTGTAAATGTTGAGAGGATGTTTCCCCTTGTGGGAAAGAATAGAATGAAGGGACGCCTTTAAAATAAGGGGTCTCCCATTTAAGATGGAGATAAGGCAAAATCTTTTGAGGTTTTTATTTTGTTCTGGTATATTTATCTTCCCCAGAGAGCAGTGGAAGTAAGATCATTGATTATTTTTAAGGTTGATTTGTATGGATTCTTGATTGATATAGGAATCAAAAGGTATGGAGGTAGACAAAGCGGAGTTGAGGCCACAATCCAATCAACTATCATATTAGAAAATGGCAAAGCAGACTCTGAGGACCAAGTGGCTTACTGCTCCCAATATGATGATTGTATGTACATAAACCTAAAGATATAAGCATATTTGTTGTAGATTAATTCAGCTCCTTCAAACATGAACTGTGGAAGCACTAATCTTACAGTAAAGACATCATATTAAATCCACAGTTTCAGATTTCAGCCAGAGCATTAGTTCTGTGATTATTCTACCCTTTGATATCATGGTGAGAGTACAACCATTTTAAACCCTTGGCTTCATAGATATCAGCAAATTTTGGATACCAAGCTGGTGCTCTGATGGAGCTCACCTGTTTGTGGAGGTTGGGAGGAGTAAGCAGGTTGAGGAGCTAACTTTGAGCAGATCAAAGGGGCTCTAATTTACAGATGCAAATTTTACATAGGCAGTCAGTGGCAACGTAATATGTAAAATTATAACCGATTTAACTTTATTTCGCTTGGAGTAAGATTTAGCATTTCTGATTTAAAAGCAAACTCGGCAGGTTTGCCAGCATCAGAGAGAAAGTCTGAAATGTCAACTGATTTTTTTTTTTCCTCCACAAATGCTGTGAGACCTGCTGAGTTTCTCCAGCATTTTCTTTTAACAGCTCTGAATTGGTTCATGGAATCTCTTAAAACAACCCCATTATGATGTAAATTATAGAATTATAAGAAGCGTAGTCTAGAAAGAGACAATTCAAACCACTGTTCCTCTGCCAGTTCTTTGAAAGAGCTATCCCATTAGGCCCATGCCTCAATTATCCCTTCCAATTTTTCACATTTGTGTGTATATCCAATTCCTTTTTTGAAAGTGGTTATTGAATCTGCTTCCATGATTCTTTCAGGCAATACATATCTTCCTTTTTATTCCTGACTGCAGAAAGTTGTTGAAGAGGAGAAACATGAGCGTGTTGAAAAAATGAAGGAGCTCCTTAGCTGGGTTTTGAATACCAGTCATGAAGTGAAAAACAGGAACGTTTTCCCAGAAGAGGGAGACCCGAGATCCATTGAACAGTCATTTTGTGAGCAGCAGGTATGTGAACGCAAATGTCTTTCAGAATGTAAATTAAACCAGAAAGACACAATGCAACACTGAAAGCCTAGCATTAAATACCGAAAGTGTTGTAAATACACATTAGTTTCTACAGCATCAGCAAAAGATAGGTTAACATTTCAGCTGTAGATCTTCCATCAGAACTAAGGTTATGGCCTGACTTGTACGCTCTTTGCCAGCCTGTAAACATCGGGGATGAAGGCTCTGGAAAATCACATATCCTCCCTTGGTTTATTTCACGGTATGCCTAGAGGTGCTATGCATGGAACTGTAATCATCTTATTTTTAAATGGTCTGTATTTGCATGTTGACTACTGCATGTCCCTTTTTTTTCTTTTTTGTAGTTTTTTTTTTGTATACAAAATGCATTTTTGTATAATGTTTTAAACAGAATTAAAGGTAATGATAGTCTCCTAAGGTGTATTAACACTATTTTTTGTTTTTGGCTGTTCTTGGTTTGTTCTAGCTCTCCAGAAGCAATTTTATTGATTTAAGGTTTTTTTGCTCCTTGCTTTCTGCTGGGGTAGCTAAGCCTTTCACTACAGTCGTAACCGTACAGCACAGGAACAGACCCTTTGGCCCTACTTGCCCATGCCAACCAGTTATCCTGAACTGATCTAGTTCCATTTGCCAGCATTTGGCCAATATCCCTGTAAACCTTTCCTATTCATGGACCCATCCAGATGCCTTTTAAATGTTGTAATTGTACCTGCCTCCATTTGTCAGCTCATTCCATACATGCACCACCCTTTGTGTGATAGAGTTACTCCTCAGATCCTTTTTTAAATCTTAACCATCTCACCTTAAACCTATGCTCTCTAGTTTTGCCCTTTAGTTTTGGGGAAAAAGATCTTGGCTATTTACCCTATCTATGCTTTTGATAATTTTTATTAACAGCTATAAGGTTACACCTCAGCTGCTGATGCTCCAGGGAAAATAGCCTCTGCCTATTCAGCCTCTTCTTATAGCTCAAACCCTCCAACCCTGGCAGCATCCGTGTAAATCTTTTCTCCACCCTTTCAAGTTTAACAACAACTTTCCTATAGCAGGGAGACAAGAATTGAATGCAGTATTCTAAAAGTGGCCTCATCAATGTCCTGTGCAGCTGCAACACAACCTCCCAACTTGTGTAGTCAGTGCACTGACAAATGAAGGCAAGCGTGCCAAATATGCCAAATGCCACTTTTGTCACCTGTTTACCTGTGATTCCACTTTCAAGGAAAAATGCACCTGCACCCCTAGATCCTTTTCGTTTGGCAACCCTCCCCAGGGTCTACCATGAAGTGTATAAGTCCTGTCCTGACTTGCCTTGCCAAACTCAACATCTCCCATTTATCCAAATTAAACTCCATCTGTCACTCCTCAGCCTGTTGGCCCAACTGTTCAAGGTCCAGTTGTACTCTGAGATAACCTTCACTGCCCACTACATGAGCAGTTTTCGTGTCATCAGCAAAATTACTAACCATACCTCCTATGCTCACATCCAAATCATTTATATAAATGACCAAAAAGCAGTGGACCCAGCACCAATCGTTGCAGCAGACCACTGGTCACAGGCCTGCAGTCCGAAAAACAACGCTCCATCACCACCCTCTGTCTCCTACCTTCGAGCTTCAAGCCAATATATCCAATTCGCTAGCACCCCCTGGATGTCATGTGATCTAATCCCCTTGTAAGAAGCTATGGAGAAATCCATGTTCTTCAGTTTTTGATGGTTGCTGTTGTTGCAATAACTATTAGAGTCAGAGGTCTACAGCAATGGAAACAAGCCCTTCGACCCAACTTACCCATGCCCAGTTTTCGTCATTAAATTAGTCCCATTTGCCTATGTTTGGTCAATATTCCTCCATACTTATCACATCCATGTTTCTTAAATGACAAAATTGTACTCGCTTCCATCACTACCTCTGGCAGCCCATTCCAGGCACACTCTACCCTCTGAAAAAATTACCACTCTGGACCCTTTTGTATTTTCTCTCCTCTCTCCTTTAAACCTATGCTGTCTAGCTTTAGACTCCTCTACCATGGGGAAGAGCTGTTGTCCATCTACTTTATCTATGCCTCTCATGGCTTTTTTTTTTAAAAGACCTCTATAAGGTGACCCCTTAGTCTCCGACACTCCAGGGGAAAAAGTCCAAGCCTATCCAACCTCTCCTTATAACTCAAACCTTCTAGACCAGGTAGCATCCTAGTAAATCTTTTCTGCATTCTTTCTAGTTTAATGGTATCCTTTTGTATAGTAGGGTAACCAGAACTGCATGCAGTACTCCAAATGTGACCTCACCAACATTTTGTACAGCTGCAATATGATGTCCCAACTCCTGTACTCAGTGCCAGTGCTCTGACTGGTGAAAGCAAGCATGCCAAAGCTGCCTTTACCACCCTGTCTACCTGTGACTCTACTTTCAAGGAGCTATGAACCTGTACCCCTGGACCTCTTTGTTCTATAACACTCCCCAGGGCTGTATAAGTCCTGCCCACCAAAATCAAACACCTTGCATTTATCTAAATTAAACTCCTATGTACCATTCCTCAGCCACTAGTCCAGTTGATCAAGATCTCTCTGCATTCCCAGGTAACCACCTTCACTGTCCGCTATACCACCAATCTTGGTGTCATCCACAAACTTACTAACCTACCTCCTAAATTCTTATCCAAATCCATTATATAAATGGCAAATTATAATGGACACAACAGCCATCCTGATTAAGTAGAAGAAAACTGCATTTTAGCACTGAACATCTGAAACACTTCAAATTCATTTAATTATTTTGCAAAATTTAATTGCTGTTGTCATATGTCTAAAATGACAATTAAGATACAGCAAGAAGGAGGTAATAGCCTAGTGGTATTATAGCTGAACTGTTAATTCAGAGATCCCAGGTAATGGTCGGGGACCTGGGTTCGAATCCTGCCACAGCAGATTGTGGAATTTGGATTTTAAAGAAATATCCAGAATTAAGAGTCGAATGATGACCATGAAACCATTGTCAATTGTTGGAAAAACTCAACTGGTTCAAAACGTTCTTCTAAGAAGGAAACTGCAATCCTTATCTGATCTGGCCTACATATGACTCCAGACCGACAGCAATGTGGTTGACTCTTAACTCTGGGCAATAAACGCTGCCTAGCCAGCAACACCCTCATCCCATGAATGAATAAATAGATCCCACAAGCAGTAATTTGGAGAATTAACCAGTTAACTCACCTGCACTTTCTTCATTCTGGTCAAAGAAGAAATGTTGACCAGTATGATGGAAGTGCGGGTGAACTTTCTTCTTTTACAAGTGTACTATTGGAACGAAGCAGGTACATATTTATGACTATGGTCTCGAGCTCTGAGTGGAGTTTGATTCCATGACTGCCTGACTTTGAAATGTGAACACTGCTGACTCAGTGCCATTATATTAGAAGGTGCTAAAGATCAATTTGAGATTTTGCATGACACCTTATCAAAAAGCAGTTGATTTCTGCATAGAACTTCTGTATTTTTGAGCTTCTAAAATTAGGAGTTAACTTTAAAGTTTTTGAACTATCGCTGTCAAATTTTGTGCAATTATGTAACCGCATCACCAGATTATCATCATTTGTTGAAGTTTTGAAGCAATTTTCCTGTGATTTGTTATCAGCTTGCATGTTTAATTTAGTTCCTTGGAATGCCTGTTCAAATTACAGATTTCCTCACTGATATGATAGTGAAATATTGCAGGTGTTGGAAATACCCATCAGGTCAGGCAGCATCTGTGATGAGAGAAAGTTTACAGATTTGTGACCTTTTCTTAAAACTCTGACCTGAAATGTGAATTTTATTGCTTTCCACGGTTGCTGCCACATCAACTGTTTCCAGTATTTTCTGTCTTTGTATTGTCAATTATTTATTGTTTTTGCTCCCAGGATTTAATATACTCTACTTTACTCTGTACTTTTTCAGTGTTTGTGCAAATCTGCATTTCCTAATTTAATTTTGAAATTGATATAATTGTTCAATCCTTAAAATATATTTTCTAATCCTTGGAAGGTTTAAAAACATTACATTGATTGCTTGTTATAAATTGTCTACCTAAAGCCAGTGTTTCCTAATTGTTGGCTAGCTACTCATGATCTCCATTTTCATTCACATCAAATTTACATGCATCCTTTAACCATTTTTGTGAGTTAGAAAGATGGAAAGCAGAGTCTGTGATCATTTTGACAATTGAGTTTGTAACTGAATTTTGATGTATATTTATAAAGTGTATTTCCCTACATTATTCAACATTTTCAAATAAAATCAGTTGAATGCTATTAAAACAACATTACTGCAGCCACACTGGTGACTAGTCAGCAGTTTCTATTGGGAAATACTATTCCAGGTGAACGTGAATTAGCAAAGTGCAAAACAAAGCTTAAAAGTATTTATTTTTGGTACAGGCAATTACAGAAGAACTCCATGCCAAGAACCATCAAATAGCAGAGGCAATCAAAGCAACACAGATCTTTCTAGCAAAACATGGGAACAGGTTAGTTGGTGTCGAACTTTGTAATTGTGTTTGGATCTCAGTTGCTACCATGACAACACATTACTAAAAATGAACAGCTGGGAAAGGAAAAGATCTGCTTCCTGACTTAATTATGTCTGGGTATGGAAGCTTAAATTTCATAAATTGTAATTCTTGCCAAGTTCATGCTTTGTGCAAAATAATTTCTTGTGAAGGAAGTTCTATTGTATTCCTCGATCATCAACAGCTAATCAAAGTAACCCATGTTTACCACTTGATGTAATCAGTTAACTCGTATTGTAGATACTAGAATTAGAAATCTATACTTCGACATCCAGAGGGAAAAGTGTGGACAGATACATTTGGAAATGATTCTCATTTGCCTTTAAGATTAAATATATTGCAGGTAACAGAATTTGATCTCTATCTACATAAGTGCATGTAAACATAAGCATAATTGCCAGAGAGCAATATGGTGACTAAATCTAATATTGTGTGCAGTAGCATTTTTGTGAGGTAATCTGCACAATGTGTAACACCAACATCCCGCTGCTGTGTTAATGTAGTTTGATTCAGATTGTTTTCCATTAGTTAGTTTCAATGGTACAAGCACAATAGAAATATTTGAGAATTAAAGTAATATTAAATCAAAAATATACTTGTTTTTAATATCTCATGATTGTTTTGGTTGAAGTAGGCTCAAAATCTACACATCAAAATAAAACAATTCTTCATTTATGTTTCAGTGCTGCTGTGTTAATGAATGCATAAAAATTGCTTACCTATATTGTATCAAAATATCTCATCTGGCAAGGCAACCCTTTGTTCCAGGTTTCAAATGTGCAAAAATAATTTGCAAGTAAGCCATAAAAGTTGATAAGGGGGTAGCCAGTGGATGTGGTTTACTTGGACTTAGTTTCCAATAAGGTCCCATGTAAGAGATTAGTGTGTAAAACCAAACTTGTATGGGTTTGGGGATAGCATACTGTCAAGGATTGTGACTGGTTGGCAGACAGAAAACAGACAGCAGGAATAAACTGGTCGTCTTCCGAGTGCCAGCCAGTCACTAGTGGGATACCACAAGGATCAGTACTTGTACCGTAGCTGCTCACAATATATATTGTTAGATGAGGGAGCTAAATGTAGTATTTCCAAGTTTGCAGATGATACAAAGCTGATGGGAGGGTAAACTATGAGGCAGATGCAGAGATGCTTTAATGTAATTTGGGCAAGTTGAGTGAGTGAGCAAAGGCATGGCAAATGAAGTATAATGTGGATAAATGTGTGGTTATCCACTTTGGTTGCAAAATCAGGCAGATTTTTTAGTATCTGAAAGGCAAAAGATGAGAAAGGAAAGGGGAAAGTGCAATGAGACTGGTGGGACTGACTTATGAAGAGAAATTAGATCAGTTTAGGAGTACAATCACTGGAGTTCAGAAGAATTTGTGGGGTGGGGGTGGTTTCTCTTCAAAGCATATACAATTCTGAGAGGACTAGACAGGGTAAACTTAGGAAGAAAGTTCCAGATGACCGAATAGTCCAGAACCTGGGGTCACAGTCGAAAGATATGGAGTAGAGCATTTAGGATGAAGATCATGAGAAATTTCTTCATCCAGGGAGTGGTGAGTCTTTGGAATTTTCTGCCACACAAAGTGGTTGAGGCCGCAGCATTGAATATTTTCAAGAAGGGGTAGATATCATTCTTAGGGCTAAAGGGTTCAAAGGGTATGGGGAGAAACTGAGAACAAGATACTGAGTTAGATGATATTGAATGGCATAGCAGGTTTTAAAGGCCAAATGGCCCACCTCTCTTTTTGTGTTTCTGAAAAAGGCCTCCAGGGCCAAGAGCAATTTGAAAGGAAAACTTAAGTCTTACCAACATGCATACCATTGAGGCATGTAATGTAAAAATTAATTTTGTATCCTAATGCCCACTTCTGACCAGTACAGATTATATTCAAACTCTAAAGGAAACTGGAATTTGAATTCTCCAAGTCGGGAGCGGCACGGTGGCACAATGGTTAGCACTGCTGCCTCACAGCGCCAGGGACCCGGGTTTTGCCTTGGGCGACTGTCTGTGTAGAGTTTGCACATTCCCCCTGTGTCTGTGTGGGTTTCCTCTGGGTGCTCCGGTTTCCTTCCACAATCCAAAGATGTGCAGGTTCGGTGGATTGGCCATGCTAAATTGCCTGTAGTGTTCAGGGATGTGTAGATTAGGTGGGTTATAGGGGGATGGGTCTGGGTGGGATGCTCTGAGGTTCAGTGTGGACTTGTTGGGCCAAAGGGCCTGTTTCCACACTGTAGGGATTCTATGATAAGTCGTGTAGTATAATTTTTTTTTATTAAAATACCTGCAATTGGTTCATGTTTCTTGGCATAATTAAAACCACTTTTTAAAAATGTGGGCAGAATGTTGTTTGTTCTCTTAGAAATTCATAATCTGCCATCTGTTAAAATGAATAGAAGGAAAGTTACAGATTAATGAGTGTACTGCTGGAAAACACTGATCATAAAATCCATCTTAAAAGAAGGGGAGACTGGTTCAATGTAAATGCTCACATCCCAATGATCAAATGAAATTTGACTACACTTTTTGGAAGAATCCCATGCAGAATTTTCCTTCCTCATTTAATTTGGCCTCCTTCGCCCCCAGTTCACAAATGCAGGCAATGTTAATTACTAACTATTGAATCTCTTTCCAGGATGTCTCTGGAAGAACAGCAACAAGTGACATCACAGTTGAACATGCTAAAAGAAACATATGGTCACCTGTGTGAACAATCGGCAGAGCAACTTCAGCAACTACAGGATAAACTCACTCAGGAAGTGCAGCGCAAGGTACACTTTTTGGGTCATAAAGATGTTCTTGAATTAATATTTCAAGTATCATTTTACTACCTCCAACATCCGATAATTTGAGTACATGGATCAGCATATGAATGTCATTTAGAATGCATAAATGAACAAAAAAGCTACATTGCATGGTATGTTTTATCTGTAATAGCACGGAGTGAACTTCATTGCTCATGTACGTCCAATTACTCATAACACAAATTTTGTGTTTCTCAGCCAATATCTCCAACTCAACAATGCTGTCTTTCAATGTGCTACTCCTTGTAGTAAATTGTGTACGCTTTTCCTTAATTATGTTTCTTTTCAAAGTATGTACCCGCTATGTGCTTCATTTGTAGTGAAAAAACTCTGCTAGAAATTTGTCAGGCTAATCATAGTTGGCATTTAAAGAAATCCTATTACAAATTTGCATTCTTAACGAAGCAAACAGATAATATTGTACGATGTGAGTTGAAAACAAAAATAGAATTCTCATTTGCCTGGAGAAAGTACTGGAGAAATTCAGCAGACCTGGAAACATTTGTGGGAAGAACCAAAATTGACATTTCCATTCCAATTTAATGCCTCTCTTAGCTCACCAAGGCTGAAAAGTGATGGGTTGCACACCGTAGAAAGAGATGTAGGAGAGCAAGTGGATCAGAAGGGCAAGATCAGGAGAAGGTTAGAAGGTGAGGTAGATTAGAGATCTCGCATGACGCAGCGTAAAAGGCAAAGGAAGTGAGAACGGTTGAAGGGATGTAAATAGATCCAATGTAGGTATTAATGGCAGAACACAAGTTCTACAGAAAGCAAAGCCAAGAAATCCAGACACTTCTCAAAACCACAATAGGGTTCTCCCTGTTCTCTACTTTCCACCCGACCAGCCTTAAATTCAAAGTATTATCCTCTGCTATTTCTGCCACCACCAGCATAATTGCTGTCACCAAACACATTTTCTCCTTCCCTCTCCTGTCAGCGCTGAAAAGGTCAGTTCCCTGCATGACAATCTGATCCACTCCTCTATGACCTTCAGCATCTCAAACCCTCCCACTCCTTCCATGTGAAGCTGTAATTTATTTATATTTCTTTCAAACTAGTCCACTGTATTTATTGTTCACAATGCAGTCTCCTCTGTGTTGGCGAAACCAATTGCAGACCAGATGAATGCTTTGTGGAACACCTTGGCAGCCCATTTGTCCAGACCAAGGCCCCACGAAACAATGAAACAATATTTGATCATTTGTTTTGGTCAAGTTGGTTGGGAAATAAATATTAGCACCATACCAAGAGGAATCTTCTCTGCTCCTGTTCACATTGTGACATTGTATCTGTTATATTGATATATGGAATATCAGTTTAATGCCTTAATCCAAAGTAATTGAATACTAAGCATAATTTTTCAATCAGGCTATAAAGGTCCATTCTAACTAAGGAGATTACTGTACATTGCCTGAGAAACAAAAACTAAATCTTTTCAGACATCATATTCATTGTTTACTGCTTCATCAGTGCATGATTGTATACGAGTGTGTGTATAAATAGGAACATTCTAATCAAGTTTTGCTGAATTACTACCACTTTTCCAAAGTTACACTCCTAATGTCTGTTTCAGGATATATCCATATTACCTATATACAGTGGAGCACTGTATAATATAGCTTGATACTAACTCTAATTGTGAGAACACTATAAAATATGGTACAATCTATCAATATTTCAGCATTTGGAAGATCACTAGTGATAAATAGCCCATTTTAGAACCTACCTTCTCTACGTCATTCAGCAAAGGAGGTGGTTGGGTGTATATATGTTTATTGCTTCACTGCAGAAAGGAACCATGTTTGAAGATGGTACAGTCTTTGCTTGCTATAAGCAGCATAGTGCGATCATTGTCAAGTCTGAATTTCCATGACAAGTTGAGCATGATGTGTCACTCTGATTTTCCTATGAATAATTATGTCAAATTAACCAGCATCCTTGCTTACAACTCAAAACTAACCCTTCTGAAATAGAAGATGGATTAAAATTTGATGCAAAAAAATCCCATAAAAGCCGCATGCTGGACCTAACAACAAGCTTACACTGTGTGTGACACTGCTGAAATACTCGCATTAGCTCTGTTTGCTGCTGGCAAACCTACTGGTAAGTAAATGTTTTTCTTTTCCTGTTCTAAATTGGTATATTCTCCTTTTGTCACACATTTCTGTCTTTATTCATTGTCACTATGTATTTCTGATTTAAAATATTAGATAATACCAAATAATTAACTACCAATATCCTGAAATTGAACTGGAACAGCCATTTAAATACAGTGCATATAAGGGCAAGTCAGAGGCTACGAATCCTGCAGGGAGTAACTCGCCTCCTATCTCCTTCCCTATGAACCATCTAAAAGACAAAGTCAGGAGTGTGATGGACCACTCCCCACTTGCCTGGATGAGTGTAGCTCCAACAACATTCAAGAAGCTTGACACCATCCAGGATGAGGCAGCCCGCTTAATTGACACACCATCGCCACCTTCACACTTGTTCCCTTCACCATAGAGGCAACCTAATTTACTAGCTACAAAATGTACTGCAGCAACTTACCAATTCTCCTTCGACAACACATTCCAAACCCGAGACCTCTTTCACCCAGAGGATAAGGGCAGCTGATGCATGGGAACATATTCCCCTGCAAGTTCTTCTCCAAGCGACATGTTGTCCTGACTTGGAACTATAACCATTGCCATTCCTTCGTTTCCACTGGGTGAAAGCCCTTCTAGTCAGCGGTATGGGTGCCTCTACACCCTGAGGACTACAGCATTTCAAGAAAACCGTTTACTACCACCTTCTCCAGGGCAATTCGGGACAGGCAATAAATTGCCTGGCCAGCAATGCCCATGTCCCAGGAACCAATAAACAAACCAAAAATAAGAAATTGTATGCATAAAACAAAGTAACATATTTCTTAAATTGTAATATGTTGTCAAATCTGTCTGTTTCTGTTTTTAATTTTCTTAAGGTGGAGGTATTTTGTAGTTCTTCTCCAACACTCCCACATGAACAAATAGAATTTCCAGTAAGTCTATTACTAATTAAGGTACTCATTGCCTTCACACTACAGACACCAGGATGTAGCTTTGTACTTAGAATTTGGGAGAGAAGTTCCTATGCTGCTTCATGAGGGAGAAGGAGTATCAGGGTATCCACAGAAAACAACCAGGTTAACTAGATAACCTTTTGATCAGGAATTGATATATAATGTACAAAAAGATAAAATGAAAGTGTAGAAGCACCAGGATAAATATAAATGGCTTTTAGTTACTCAGGAGATGGCAAGAACTGCAGATGCTGGAGTCACAATCAATATAATGTGGAGCTGGAGGAACATAGCAGGTCAGGCAGCATCAGAGGAGCTGGAAAGTCGACATTTCGGGCAGTCCTTTGAAACCCGAAACGTTGACTTTCCTGCTGCTTTGCCTGACTTGCTGTGTTCCTCCAGCTCCACACTGTATTGACTAAATATTATAAATGGTACTGGACCTTGCCTGTTTGCCATCAATTTTAATATAGGGTATCAATTGCACTGAATTTAAGTACGTATTTAAAACGCATGGTATTCTGGTTTACTTGTACGGCTGTCTGGTTTAACATACAAATTAAAAATGTGCAAGTACAGATGTTTGTAAATGCAATGGTTAATCATCCTAAAGAAATTAAACTTTCCCCAAAAATCATTGCTTACATTCTGGCTTTCAGCTGCCTTGAGTTACAGGGCGTCCGAAATATATTGTAAACTTCCAGAAATGATATTTTAATATGATCTGTATTTTAGTCTAAAAATATCACACTGCATTAAATAATCAGTTCAGTAAGTAGGAATAAAATTTATGTAACCAGTTTCAGGCTTGCATAGAAAATAGAAGCCAGAATAGTTAATTTGGCCCTTCAAGCCTGCTCCACCATTCAATTATAATTGTGGCTGATCACCCAGAATCAATAGCCTGTTCCCACTTTCCTCCCAGTCTTTTTGATCCCTTTAGCCCAGTTGTCATATCCAATTCCTTCTTGAAATCGTGTAATGTTTTAGCCTCGACTGCTTTGTGGTAGTGACTTCCACAGGGTCCTTACACTCGGGGTGAAAAAATTTCTCAACTCAGTCCTCATGATTTGCTGTGTATCCTTAGTCTGAGACCCCTGGTTCTGGACTTTCTTTATGATGAACCTCCTTCGTACACCTCCCCTGATTATAGGTTTCTGTGAGATTCCTCCTCATTCTTTTGAACTCCAGTGAATATAATCCAAACCAATTCAACCTCTTGTTTCTCAGTCATGCCATTCCAGGAATTAATCTGCAAACCTTCATGACACACTCCCTCGATAGCAATAACATCAGATAAGGAGACTAAAATGGCATGTAATATTCCAAATATGGTCTCACTAAAGCCCTATGTAATTGAAGCATGACATCCCCACTCTTATTCTCAAATCATCTCACTCTGAAGGCCAAACTACCACTTGCCTTCTCAACCTCTTGCTGCACCTGCCTGCCTACTTTCAGTTATTGGTGTACAAGGACACTTGGGTTTCATTGCACATTTTCCACACGTCCCTAACCCCCTCAATTAATAGTCATTCAGATAATGGTCTGCTTTCCTGTTTTTGCTTCCAAAGTGGATTACCTCACATTTATCCACATTATACTGTATCTACCATGCATTTGTTTACTCACTCAACTTGTCCAACTCTCACTAAAGTATCTCTTTGTCTTCCTCACAGCTCACTCTCCCATCCAGTTTCTGTCATCTGCAAGTTTATGGATATTGCACTTAGTTCTCTCATCTCAATTATTTAATATATATTGTGAATAGCTGGAGCCCATGCAGTGATCCTTGGGATATGCCCCTGGTCACTACCTGCCATTTGGTAGAAAACCTATTTATTCCTATTCTTTGTTTCCTGTCTGCCAAGCAGTATGTTATCCATCTGAACACACCAACCCCAATCCAGTGTGTTTCTGTTTTACACACTAATGTTATGTGGGACTTTGTAAGTCCAAATAAACCATACCCACTGCCTTTGCCCAGCGTCAGCTCTACAACCTTAAAGAATTCCAGTAGGTTTATTAAGTGTGAATTTTTCTTTTTCATAAATTGAAACTGACCTGGTCCAATCTTGCCACTGTTGTCGAAGTGATCAGCTATTAAATCTCATAATTATTTTTCAATTGCAAAAGTCCTGATGGCACTCATCCTTAGACAGTATTTATTGAAAAGTTTACAAATGACAAGAATGCTACAAGTCTGTTAGTGTTTTGTTAGGTCAAAACATTACCTGCCACATTTGCTGTGTTGCTTGCTTTTTTTGTGCGATGCTTAATCTGACTATTACCATCCCACAACACTACAAGTTCATGGAATATGGATGTTATTTACTTAGCCACTTTCTAAAGTCGATTTATGATTATTAGATGCTTTTATAGTTTTGAGAAGGTATATACAGCAACATTTACAAGTATATAACAGTTCAGCAATTTTCAGCATAAACCACAAAAGGAAAATATAATTTTGCAGTTTTAATATCTAACAGCTCATTAATGTAATTTGCATACTTTTTGTGCATTGTCAACCATTGCTGCCTTAAGATTAAATAATTAATATAATCATCTTTCAGATTATCAAGAACTCCAGAGCGCATTTTTTTCCTTTTTTCAAAAACTTGCTCTTGTAATTTTTCCTACTGAGGGATCTAGTTTCCTATAACTGCAGGCCATTGTTTCCTGCTGCATAAGTGCTCATACTCGATTGCCCAGTTTCAGAGATCACTCAAAGTTTACAGTCCATTTTCACAAAGGACAAGTTAGCTACCCACCAACACCAGAACGGACTTTGTGTAGAAAGGATGTTTCACTCGGTGATATCATGATGCAAATTATTTTTTTTGCTGAGCCAACTCTAAATGCAGTAATGGAATCGGAACTGAGCTCCCCTGCAGGTGTAGGGATGATTAGAAACGGAAATATTGCTTTCTGAAGGGAGTTTCAAGACTAATTCATACCTATCAATGTAAACGCTGGCAGATTTAATATAAAAAGGGGCTACGACAAAAACAGATTAAATTCAACTGAAGTGGGGGATGCTAAATTCAATTGACAAACTGTTATGAGCCAGTTAAGACATAGCTGCAATGACTGTAAGTTCCTTTTTAGGTTTTGGAGCTTTAAATGCAAAATCTATATGATTTGTCTTTTACATTTTTATAGTTTTAAGAATGGTTTTGTCAAAATGAATGTAAACAATTACTGATAAACCAAAAATTACTCTTTTAAATAAGTGCATATGCCTTTAATTAATAGTTGTTTGAAGTTCAGTGGCCTAACATGTTCTTTACATTTTCCAGGAGAATGAAACAATTGCAGGTGTGATTGACCTGGGAACAGTAGAAATGTTTTCAATTTTCCATGCCATGCAGAAGGGCTTTATAGATCAGGACACAGGGCTTGCTTTGCTGCAAATTCAAGTAATTAATTCTGGCCTCATAACCCCTGAAACAAATGAAAGTCTAACAGTGGAAGAAGCTTTCGAAAGAGGTGCACTAGATGACCGAACAGCTAAATCTTTAAAAAATCTGCAGGCTGCAATACAGCTTCTGAAAAGCGCAAGCTTTAGAAGTAAAAAGCTTCTGCCTGTTGCTGCTGCTATTGAAGAGAAGAAAATTGATGAGAATGTTGGGCTGAAGATTTTGGAGGCACAGCTTTGCAGTGGTGGTCCTCGTCACCCATCAGTAGATGAAGCTGTGAATTTGGATAGGACTTTACGACAGGGACTGATTAGTACTTCTCTTCATGCAAAGCTGAAAGCGAGACAAAGAATGCAGAAAAGTCTCATTGATCCAAACACAGGAGAAAAGCTCAATCTTTCAGAACTGATTGAACGGTGCATTGTTGATAAAGAAACTGGATTGACGTTATTTCCAATAAAACAACTTGCTGGTGGAATGGTGTGCCTGAAATCAGGTAGAAAAGTTAGCATATTCCGTGCTATTCAGGAAGGCCTGATAGATCAACAGGTGATGGTAAGACTTTTGGAAGCCCAGCTGTTTGCTGGAGGCATTGTAGATCCTAGAACAGGGCACCGATTGACGGTGGATGAAGCAGTCAGACATAATTTAATTGATCATGACATAGCCTGTTCCATATTAATTCGTCAGATCCAGATGGGTGGTGTTATTGACCCTGTCTCGGGTCAGCGACTAACACTGGATGAAGCCGTGCAACGGGATTTGATGACCTCAAGAAGTGCGTTGGTTATATTGCAGTCCCAGTTGTCTTTTAAGGGTTTGCTGTGGCCAGAATCTGGTGAAGTCCTTCCGATGGCTAATGCTTTGCAACAGGGACTTGTCTCCACAGAACTTGCGCACAAAATCCTGAAGAAGAGAGCCACGATATCAGAACTTTACGTCCCAGAAACAACTGAAGTGCTGTCCTGGGAAAAGTCAATTCAACATGGATTTGTAGACTCTAAAGTTGCTGAAGTGTTAAAGTCTATTCATATACCTGATATGATACCAAATATCAAAGAACCAAGTACTGCAAACCTGAACAGATTGAATTGGTGGTCAGCTTCTGAAAGCCTGGCAAATTCCAATTTGACATGCCTAGATATGGACAGTGGTACTGAAACCTCTGATAGTCAAATAGCAGAGGTAAAGCTGTTGTCATATTTGATGGCACAAACTTACATAGATGTGCACACTGGTAACAGATTACTTTTGATTGATACGGAGTTGAATGACATCACAAAAGAAATCATAGGTGCAACTGTGGTTGTGAAAGAGAAAGGTCTGTCGGATGAATGCAATGGAGAGGATATTTCAATGGAAATAAACGCTCCACAATTTGTTGAAATATGTTATTCAGATAATGCAGTGTTAGAGCAGAATGACAAATTAAAAGCAAGTGATGAGAAGAAAACTGAAGTTCTTCATGGAAAACATGAGTCAACCTCAGACATACAGATTAAGGAAACTATAATTGGCAAAGAAATAGCAGTCAGTAAAAAAATTGACTTTGTGTCTCAAGAATTAGGTAATAAACCTGGAACATGTGAAGATGTTCTATTAAATAAAGCACAGCCAACGACTAAAAGAAAAAAGAAAATGGTGAAGCGTGAGACTGATGAGAAAGAAAAACTTAAACAAACACTGGCTAAATCTAAGCCTGTCACTAGTGTAATCATTAATGAAACTGCTATTGCTGACAAACCTACAGAACTACAATATAAAGCATCCATATCTAACAAAGATACTGACAATTCACTTTCTGTGGTAACTGCCATGAAAAATCTATTGCCTTCTCAAAGGCGGGATGACATTAACAAAGAAACCATTGAACTGCAGGCAGATGCACCATTATTTGGTTCAGAAATAGATGTTGCAGCATCTACAACTCAAAAGTCACTTCAAGAATCTCATGATAGGTTTGAGCTCTATTTTTTACAATCAAGCTGTGATGGAGTTGCTTCTCTCCTAAATACCAGCAAGAGTGAACCAATATTATGTGAAGAAATTGAACAAGACCATCTGAATGAGACAATAAAAGGTAAAAGTGAAAAGCTGTCTAACAGAGGGCAAAAGTCTGAGCAATATGAAGTAGTAGAGGCTGTCCAATACTTAAAACCTGCATTAAAGTCGATTCCAACAGAAGAATTGTTGGAAGAGAAACTGGCATTAAGTTGTCTGATTGACCAGCTTCAAAGCGGAGGCATCATTGATGATCAAACAGGACAAAAACTAGCACTCAATGAAGCAGTGGCCAAAGGAGTGCTGCAAAGCCACACTGCTCTCAAACTGATGGAAAAGCTATGCATCTTCAGTGGCTTCTTTGATCCTCAATCCTGTGAGACGCTTACAGTAGCTGAGGCAGTAGATGAAGGACTTGTGGATGAACAGTTGATTCATAAGATATTCAACTCTGAGAAAGATATTTGTGGTGTAATTGATCCGGAAAACTCTTCCATACACTCTGTTAAAGATGCAGCTGAAGTTGGCCTTCTGGATCAGGAAACTGCAGCCAGAATCCTGGAGGGACAGGTGGTTTCCGGTGGAATCATTGACTTAAAGCGAGGCAAACGGTTATCAGTGACTTTAGCTTCAAAAATGGGCTTGGTAGATAATGCACATTTGGATAATTTGACCAAGCTGGAGAAGGCCATTAAAGGAAAGGAATCTGATGAGAAGACAAGGCTGAGAAAGTTTTCATTACAGCTGGAAATGAATGGCATAGTGGATCCGCAAACAAAAGAATGCTTGACTATTGTTGAAGCAAGAAAGAGGGGTATCCTTGATAAAGCAACCATTCTTAATGTTTTGAAAAAGCAGGTGGTTTTGGGGGGCATTAACCATGACATATCAGGAACTAGACTTTCTGTAACTGCTGCAACAAAATGTGGTCTGGTTGACCAAGATATAGCTGAAGAATTAATTGAAGTAGAGAAAGCTTGTCAGCATGTGTATCTCCATCCTAAGACAATGCAGCCAGTCACTTTGTCTGAAGCTACAAAATTAGGTCTCGTAAACTCAAACTTTGCTTTGGAAGTGCAAGAACTCCAGGCTTTGAGTGGCAGGTTCAAAGAACCAGGAACTTCCAAAAATCTGACTTTAACTCGAGCTGCAAAGCAAGGATGGTTAGAAAAATCGATAATGGAAAAGGCAATGGCTTCTCCTGAAATGAGTGAAGGAATTGTGGATCCTGCACAGTGTATGATATTACCTTACTCCGAGTTAATAAAAAAAGGAAAAATTGACATGGAATCTGGCAAGAGATATTTGGAGGTTGGATATTTTACGGGAATTGTAGATGATGACTCTGGCAGGATGTTATCTGTTGCTGAAGCAGTAAAAGCAATGAAAGTGGATCCAGTGCCAGCTTTGCGACTGCTGCAGGCCCAAGCTGATAGTGGTGGAATTGTGGATAGCGCTACTGGTAACAGAATGACTCTTGCGAAAGCTGCAGAGTGTGAACTGGTAGGTGACAACATGCTTAAGACTATTGCTACCAATCAACTTTTGAATGGAGGAATATTTGATGCACTTACTGGAGACAAGATGCCACTGGTTCAAGCAGCTGAAAGTGGTCTGATTAGTCAAAAGGTGGCCAAGGAAATTCAATTCAGTTTGGGTTTTAGGAGTGAATGTACTGATCCTGACCAGACTAGTGCTGCAGAGATGATAGAAATTGTTAAACCCATAATGCAAAAAACCTCTTTCAAGGAACTATCCTCAAATGAAATGAACCAGATATTACCTCCAAGAATAAATATTGAAGACCAGTTGAGTGGTGAAATTGGAATAGTCACTTCCAAAAGTGAAGGGCTGTTGTTGCCTGAAGTGCTTATATCACCTGAAATGGATAAAATGGCAGTTAAAGAAGATCTATTACCTCCTACTCATGGTGATACTACAAGTTCCCATGGTCAGATAGTCTCTGCTCAAGAAGCTTTGGTGTGTATGGATAAAGAGATGGAATTTGGAGATGCAAAGAAAGTGGTTGAAGAAATGGAGTTTTCTAATGCCTCAGAGGAATGCTTAAACATTATGGAGAAAGAACTGGACATTTGTTTGGAAATGAGTGATTGTCAGAAATTTGTGGAAGGAAATGATCATAATTCTGGAAATGGAACACAAAGCATGATTTGTAAGAATGTAGAAAGTAAGAGTGATCAAGAAGTCTGTTTAGTGGATAATGAAAAGAAAGAACCCAAATCAGAAGAAAAGGAACAACTGATTTTACCAAGTATAAAAGATTTTCCCAACTTTGAGGCAAAGGGAATGAAGGAATTGATAAAACAACGACTGGAAGATGAAATCTCAAGAGACAGTGTGCCTATAAATCGTAAAGAAAGAGATGCACTTATAAGAAAAAACAAGGAAACCATTCAAAAGCTGGACGATGAAAATTTAACTGAAATGAAGTTTTTTTTTGGAATGGTAACAAATATTGAGCACCCTGAAGAATCAAATGTAGAAGCAGCGGAACAAGAAAATAGAGAGCAAAATGGACAATTAACAGGTAAAATATCTGATGAAGGTAAACGTTCCAGTGTTAGCGAAACAGCGCTATCTGCTCTGCCCACAGAAAGTATGTTTCTAACTAACGACCCAGTAAGTGAAAACTTGATCATACTTTCAAAAGATAAGCACCTATGTCCAGAATCTAAAGAAATATTCATCACAAAGATAAGTGAAGGTGAAAGATCAATAACATGCACAAAAGAAGAGGAAAAGACTGAATTTGTTGAAAAACTGAATAACACTTTAGGTCAGAAAATTGCACCAAATTCTAAAGCAACTGTTAGAAGTGGCCTATTAGTTGGCAACATTGAAACTGCCCAGATGACCAATGAAAATTTACTGCAGAAACAAACTGAAGAACTAACATTTACGAATTTGAATGAGCAAGGAGATGATAACAAAGATACCAGAAGCATTGAGAACAGACCAGAAGAGGAACAAAAGCAGGTAACTATAACATATATTGTAGAATAGTTTAAGTTAGTTTGTTTTGTTTATTTGTCTTTTCACACTTCGTGATTACTTAGACAATCTTTTCAGTTTGATTAACCATAGGCTATGCTCGTCTGAGTGTTATTCCCTATCCGGCCCATTAGTGTGAAATAATGGACGTGAGTGACTGACTTCCTGTTATGATTTCCCACCCCAAACTTGCTGAAGACTAGCATGTAGCTTCTGCTTAATATTCTGCTAAATGTAGTCTAGTTAGATTGATGCTTTCGACATTGTTGAAGAATCATCTCCATGAGATGATTACCTCTGTGAAATTTACTCACTGGTTTTCCAGTTTTCTGATCTGTTTCACTGGCCTAACCTTTTACGTTTTGATTTTGTTAGGTTGACCACCCCTCCCCCAGTCACTGAAACCAAAATGCCCGGAGAAAGTCGCTTCACCTCAATCTAATTAAAGGAAGTGTGAAAAGTGGTACAACCTGCTTTTCACCCCAATCTGTCATAAAGGAGTGGTTAAATAAAATAAAATCCTTTCACTCATTCTATAATCGACAAGTAAAAATTTATTTATCTAACTCTATAAAGTAAACAAATTTAACAGAACTACAAAAGAACTAAACATTTCTCCCTTTAATTTTGGACTATTCCTGAATAAATAAAGCTCTAATGGTATGCTGTTCCAATCAATACAAGTCCCACTTACATTAACCAAACTCTTAAGAAAAATAAATTAAAACTTAGTCTCTCAAAATTACAGTCAGGATAAGTCTCCTGGAATGCTCTGCGCCCTGTTCGCTGATCCACAGTCAGGAATGCCTTTCTCCGTCAAATTCATGTCAGGAATATTAGCTAAGTGTGTTGCTGTATCTTTAGATGGTTTTCTGAGAGCTTAGAGAATTCTGAGAGCCAGTGATTCTTTCGTTTATAGCTGAGAGCTGTTTTCTTGGCAGATGATAGTTGACTCTCACTGATTTTCAAATGCCCTCTTCTTTTATACCTTTTGACCTATAAATTTCTTACAGTAGGATTGGTTCTAGGTTGTCAGAGCCATTTGATTTAAATTTAATTGGGTTTTGGTATCTAGGGCCTGGTTTAAATTAATTGGCTAAATTCAAAAACCTGTTGTCTTTGTAAAAATGCTGCTTTGCCTGCTAACAGTATAGTCTTTTGACACAGTTTCAAATTCAAGAACTCTGCGCACCTGCTGCCTGCAGACTATTTTTAAACCGCCAAGCCTTTTTTTAAAAAAAAAAAATCTTTTAAAGGGACTACACACTTTTTTTCCCCACCCCCTGTCATTTTACAAACATTACTCTACCCAACTTTGCAAGACCTTCCCCCTTAAGAAATAAATGAACCATTATGATGAAAAGATGGCTTTTTTTTTCAAAAGCATAAAACCACCATTACTGGATCCATAAGTCATTAATCAGAGTTACACATTTCATACTAATTCTATATACACTGCCGAGTCTATCTTAAATACATGTTTTCCTTTTAAACCTGCGATGTGTCTACAATAACATTTTCACGACCCGCAACATGTACAATCTGTAAATTAAATGCTTGTAGCATAAGACTCCAATGCAAAAGTCCTGCCTTTAAATCTTTCCAAAAATATGAACTGGTTGTAAACGGTGTACACAATCATCTCTGATACATTGCTTGTGACATAAACATTAAAATGTTGCAAGGCCAGTACCTCTCTCCCTCTCTCTTTTTCTTTCTCTATTTTTCTTTTTCTTTCTCTCTCTCTTTTTTTTCTTTTTCGTTCTCTCGCTCTCGCTCTCTCAACAGTTGAATATTTTTCTCTGGTGGATATTGAGTTTCTTTGAAAAATAACCAACTGGCCTGTAAATTCCACAGTCATCTTACCATTATAACACAGCTCCAACCCCTACATCGCTTGCATCGATAGTGACTTTAAAGAGTCTCAAGAAATTAGCATGGCTGAAACTGATGCAGTGGTTAACACTGCTTTTAACTTCTGAAATGCCTCCTGGCATTGTTTTGTCCAACAAAATTTTGTGGTGTTCTTTAACAAATCTGTAGCGGTGCCACTGTGATACTAAAGTTTGGTACAAGCTTCCAGTAGAATCCGCTCAGTCCCAAAATTGTAGCACTTCCTTTTTCGAGGATTGTCTTGGAAATTCCTCAATGGCCTTTGTTGTCGCATTCCTCAGTATCATCCATCCATGTCCAATGTTGTGCCCTAAGATCATCACCTTTGCCAATTCTGTTTTTGCCAAATTTTATGACCAACTCCGCCTTCCACAGTGTCTCCAAAGCTCTGCCAAATGCACCATGTGACCTTTGAACAAGTTGCTAAAGATCACTAAGTCATCTTTATAGACGGCACAATTAGTCAATCCTGCCATAACTCTGTTCATAAGTCTTGAAATGTGGATGGTGTTTTTCATTCCAAAGGACCTACCTTTACATTGATATAGCCCACTTGGGGTCACAAAAGTAAAAACATCTTTTGCTCTCTCCAACAAAGGTACTTGCCAGTAACTGCGAAGTAAGTCCAACTTAGTGACGTAAGTGGCTTGTCCAACTTTCTCCACACAGTCCTCCAGCCTTGAAATTGGGTATGAGTCCGATTTAGTCACGGTGATGACCTTCTGATAATCTACGCAGAATCGTTGAGTATCATCAGGTTTGGGAACCAACACAATTTGCAAACTCCATTCACTTTGACTTGGCTTGATGATGTCTTCTTAAAGCATTGCTTCCAGTTCCTTCTGTACTTTTACTGTGTTGAGAGGAGTAAGCCTGTAGGGGTGTTCTTTCGGAACAGCATTTCCTACATCCACCTTGTGCACTAAAAGTATTAGTCCTCCCCATTCTATTTCTACATATATCCTCATAGTGCTGCAACAAGCTTTTCAATTCAGTTCTTTGTTCCTGAGACCTGTAGCTTATTACTCTATCCTATTCTTTCAGGACTTCCTCATAATTCAATTTATTCTGAGGGACATCAAAATCCAAATCGTGTGGATTTGATTCCTCACTCCGAGTGGCAGTAACTAATACCTGTTTCTCCAGTTCCCTTTCCCTGTCATAGTAAGGTCTCAGCATGTTAACGTGACATAATCAATATTTTTTTCTATCTGGCATCTTTACCAGATAATTCACCTGACTTAACTACTTCTGAATCTGGTAGGGACCACTATACCTTGCTTTTGAAGGGATCTCCTACGACTGGTAACACCAACACCAATACCAATACTTTATCCCATGGGCAAATGTACAAATTTTGGGTTTCTTGCTTCAGTAAATGCTGTGCCACATTCAAATGTTGCCTAGCTAATTCACCCACTCTGTTTAATCTTTCTCTCACCTCAGATACATAATCCAACTGAGATCTGTGACTTCGGATCTATCAACTTTTCCTCAATTTTGAAGGCCCTCTTACTTTTTTATGAATATCAATTCAAATGGAGTTAACTGAGTCGATTCATTTGGAGCATCTCTAATAGCAAATAATATAAATGGGATACATTTATCCCAATCATTTGGGGATTCCTGGTAGCACGCCCCAGCATGGTCTTTAGAGTCTGATGCCACCTTTCCAATGCTCCCTGTGATTCAGGATGGTATGCACTTGAGTGTTGGATGCCTAAACTATCCATGACCACCTTAAACGATTTGCTAGTTAAATCTGACCACTGGTCTGACTGAATCTCCCTGGGTAGTCCATAACGGGTAAAGAAAGCAAGCAACTCCTCCACAACCTTTTTTTTTTTGCCTTGACATTCCGTAATGGAATTGCCTCCAGAAATCTGGTAGATACATCCATTAACATTGGCAAATACTGGTTCCCACTTTTGGTTTTAGGGAGGGGACCTACACAATCAATGATAACCCATGTGAAAGGTTCTTCAAATGCGGGAATTCCCCATTCCTAGATGACGACCTACAGGTAACTTGTGTGCTACCTGCAATACTTCCTGTTTGCATGCTACCGGCAACACAATCTGGTGAACTTCTGCCCATCTCTCCTCTGCACTAACCTGCCAAGGTTCCATTTCCACCTTCTTTTTTTAAATATTTTATCCATAATGTAATAACATTCTGGAATACATTCTGATTCCTTTTACGAGTAGGCTTTATGATATAAATCTTTTATGGTCTCATCTTTTTGTTGTAGCTCCATTAGTCTTTGAGGACTAAACACCTCCACCCGATCCTTTACGTGCGTAGGCTTTTCCTTTACCATTTTATCAAACAGGGCGTCAGCTAACTGGACCCCAACTCCTTTTTCTTTCTCTTTTGGTTTTCCTTTCTTGCTTTAACTTATGACTGTGGGATCTTGTCACTACACAGTCCAGAAAAAATTCCAGGGTATTTTTTCTTTTAACTCTCCAGTTCCCTGGTTTTCTTTTGGCTTTTCATCTTTGATCCAGCTAGTTCTTTTCCAAGAACAAACTGTTTTCTTGGAATAGACACTCTTACAATCACCTCTACTGTATCTTCCCCAGTCTGGATTGGACTTTCCAGCCTTATCTTACACGGGAATGTTAAATCTCTCGATGTTTTCCACAGATGATTGCTCTCTCGGGTAACATTCAGAATGAGTGCCCATACTTGCATCTCGTACTATTAGACACTGACCAGCTCCCGTATCTCTCAATATTTTAACTTCTTTACCTTCTCCCCCTGTTCTTCCTGAGTAAACCTTCACCTCCAGAAGTGAAGTCTTTGAAGAGATCGGGCACTATCATACTATCCAGCCCGTGACTAGGCTGTGCACTCTCCTGCAGCTCCTCGACTTACTTTGGGATTTCCTTCACTACTTCAACTAATCTCATTGGGTTAGCCTCTTTCACCACATCCTCTTTCCCACTGCCTCTCTTAATCCACCAGCACAGTGACTTTGTGTGGCCCCCTCTACAGTGGAAATACTTGAGGTCTTTGACCTCTCTTTCACCCTCTTGGGTTTCTTTATTCCACATGTGATAAACTGTTCCTAGTATGATCATTCATCGATCTTCATTGAAGGATCTCCCTTTTTCCCA